CGATTTATACGGGAAATTTCACTTATTTTAAGGTGTGTTTGTGCTTTCTAATTCTCACATTTCATTCTGCAGAAATATTACTCAGAACTGTGCACACTTCCATGATTTTAGTCAAAATCATATTCGGTGCTTAAGTTTCTTTTTGCAGGCACATATGTGAAATAATGCCAAAAGGTGTGCTGTGTTTCTTTTCAAGTTATCGCGTCCTTGATCAAATCTACGAGTATATGGAAACATCTGGTATCTTGAGACAAATCCAGAATAAGAAGGTTACCTTATTACGAAAATTTCCTTGAAGTGGGGCTTGTGTTGTATTCAGTAAAGATAAATGCTTTTCTAAAGTAGAAAGCATTTCTTTTCTCTACAGTGAAAACCTGCCATGGTTTTTTGAATTTTAGCATGATGAGATTTTTTTCACATAACTACTTTTGGATTTTATTTTTTATGTTTTTCTCAGTTACAAAAATTGTAGCTAAAAGTGCTAGTACAAATTTGCAAGAAAAAAAAACAGGATTCAGAGAATAGATATGACGGAGAGCTGACGAGTTGAATTGAGAGACGCGAAGATTTGTTAGCAGAAAAACCACATGCTGCAATTCTTATATAATTCTAGCGACTCATAAATACCTTCTAAAATATTCGAGAGCATTCGGAATGGGCTTTCGAAATTAAGTACAACAAATTTTAAACTCTGATTTCTAGCCCCGAATGGAACACGTCCCTGAGTCAATGCTTGAGTGGTAGCGAATTTTTTATGTTTTTCACGTTCCCATAGTTTTATTATTGCATTAATCTATTATTTATAAATTTCTCTCTTTGTCTTTAATTTTCTCACCTACTATTTTTTATGGCTTTTCCAGTTTTGTAAAATGTTTTTCCAGCGGGCGCCTAGCTTCTGATCTTCCATTTGGCTCTTCCTTTCAATGATGTTCTGTTCCTCCTTCATTTGCTAAAATTCAAGCAGCCCAAACTCCAGGGACAACGAATTTGCCTGCTGGCTGTTGATGTTTTTATTTAATAACGCGTACTTTTATACTCTAAAGAACTGCCAGTTTTATCTTTGGCGATTTTTTGGCATTGTACCGAGAGTACTGTTGAGGGATGTCATTCACAGTTTAAAAAAAGTGGAATTAAATATTCGCGCTTACTCTTTTTCAGCTGGTGCTCAAAGAACCACGGCGTTCTTCAGCGATGAACACTGTTATGGTGCAGTATGAAGATGCTGTTAGCAGACCGGTGAAATTTGGTGCTTATTGTACTGGAGCATTAATGTTGGCTGTATTCAGGGGCAAGGTCGGTTTGTTTTTCTTTAATGACACTATGCACTGTTCATTACTATTATTTTGAAACAGTGCATTTCTCGACGGAAGCTAGCTTCTTTCTTGAATTCTGCCCCTTGGGTTTTTTTTAGACAGTTTTTAAAATATATTGTAATTTTAATTTTAGATGGTGTGTGTTTATGTAAAAAGTAAGGGACGTGAACAAGTTAAAATCTGGATAAAAATCTGGATAGGAATGTTTCGGTCCATTAAGTCGCATACATTCCTGTTCAGTGCTGCAACTGGATATACACTGCTTCCCGGAAGTTTTCTTATGTCTTCAGAAAAGCCGACATCTAGTAGAAAATTTAGTCTTTCGGAAAACTAGTAGAGTTTCCTCAACTCTTTCTAAAAGTTCCACTACTGACTCTTTTTAAAAATTAGCAGATTCAAATACTGTAATTTTCAGCTATGTAATGCATTGTGATTTGTTCACTGCAGAATTTGATAACTGAAAAATGTATTGGCTCGGTTGCCAGAGCATTTTATTTGTTCAATAGAGACGGCCTCTTAAAATTCAGCTATGGCAGCTGTCGCAGATCTGGCTGCTCGATCCACTCTGTTCTGCTTTTATGAAATTCAGTAACTTGTTACGTGATATGTTCAGTTGCTAAGAAATTTGGCAGTCTGTCACACCACACGCATCTCTTCTTAGCTCATAAAAAAATTTTAATTAATCGGGCTGCTTTTCAGACTGATTGAGTACACTCCTGTCAAATAAAGGCTACCTGCACTGTGCGCATTTTTGAGCTCATCATTTTCTGGCCACTCTAACACGGGGTTTTGCAGGTATCTGAAGGCATTGATTTTGCTGATGATCGAGCTCGTTGTGTTATCACCGTGGGTATACCGTTTCCTAGTGCTCTGGATGAACAGGTAAGAAAGCTCAAAATCTGCTACTTCAGTAGGAATGTTGAATTGCTTTTTTTTATGCATTTTATGCTGTGTAACAGCAGTACAAAACGCATATTGTCACAGGATTGTCTGTGTGTGTTCGCAGCAACTTGTCCGCAACTTTCGGCTCGGGAACCACAAAAGCCAGGAAGCTGAAAATTTAGTGGAATGTCCCCCACCCACGCGTGACTCCGCAAATTTAAATTCAGCTTCCCCGTACCCGCGGGTAACACGGATGGCCCCGTGAAAGTTTTTTACGGGTAAATTAATATCTCGGGAATCACGAAGTCTAGGAGGCTGAAATTTTAGGGTAATGACCCCCTGCCCACGTTCAACCTTGCCCATTCAAATTCACCCTTCCCGTACCCGCGGGTAACACGGATGGCCCCGTGAAATTTTCTTACGGGTAAATTAATATCTCAGGGACCACGGAGTCCAGGAGGCTGAAATTTTAGGGTAATAACCCCCTACCCACGCTTAACCTTGCCTACCCAAATTCAGCGTTCCCGCGCTCTCGGGTATCAATTACGGGCTAGTGAAAGTTTTTTACGGGTAAACTATAACTCGGGAATCACGGAAAGATATTCACCTTTCAAGGTTTCGAATTCAGCTTTCATGCGCTGGTGCGTGAATTTAGCTGCTTTCCAATGTTTGAACTATTTTTGCATATACTAAAGTACAAAGCAGTGAAAATCATTAATGGCAATCGTTCGATGGGCTGAATTGCACAAAACGCATGATCGCACCAGCTAGTCTGGTGCGCGTTGCTATTTATTTCAACTTCCTTCACTTTTCAGGTTGTCGAGAAAAAGAAATACAACGATGAATATTGCAAAAAATTGCAGATTTTATCTGGCGACCAGTGGTATACAATGCAGGCATATCGAGCCCTCAATCAAGCACTGGGAAGGTGATGTTTTTTATGAGATACTGTGAAACAAGGCCTAACAGTCTCTTGCAATGTATATTGTTATCAGCACCAGATTGTTGCAGTGATTTATATTTTCTCTAACACTCGGAAGTATTGGTTTGAATGAAGCTAGCGTTTATCTTTACCAAAAAGTAAACTACGTATGTTTATCATGGCCGAGAGATAAATATGTAC